CTGCTGACTCAGGTAACAAACATGGTAAAATCACAGATCTGCTAATTTCATGAGAAACAAGTCATAATTTAAGTGTTTCAGCAATTTGGGTCTGAAAAGAAACAGATTGGACTATATTCACTTACTTACAGGAGTAAATGGCACGTGAAGGACGTCAAAGAAGTTGAAACATTTGAAATGCTGAGTAATAACGTATTATCAGGGACAGAAGATGTGAGAGGCTTGGGCCTCTGTTGTGTTTCTGTCTAAAGACAGTATTTTTGCTGGTCAAAAGCTCACGTAGAGATTTAATGGGATGACACTTCATAATTAGACATCCACCAGCTGTCTCTGTCTATAGGAACAGTTCTTCTTCTGTAGGAAATCTGGGATTGGTTTGCTGTTAAAAGTAAGCAGAAAATTGGGGAAAACAAAACAACCCCAAAAGCTTTTTCCTTGGCAAATACATCTTTCAGTGTTTAAAATTCTTAGTTTTGACTTTCCCTGATTTGATGAACCTCTTAATCTTTCATGTATCTCTAGAACAAAATACTGCTGAGGCCAGTAAGAAATGTATGTGAAAATGCCATTTGTGTATTCCTCCACACTGCTCCCATGCAAACAGACTTTGGGTTTAGTGTGCTTAGTGCTGAGCAAACATCTGCTCAGGCAGTGTCAGTTGCAGGGAGGCTCAGTGGACAGGACTGACAGATGCAGGAGGAGACACTGGGTGCAGTAACCCTATCTATACAGGCTGATGGCTGAAGCTGGAAACACTTTGCTTGCCCAACACACGTGGTCTTTGTTTAAAGAAAGCAGAAATTCACTCAAAGTCTGGGAGAGCAGCTGTCTGAAAAAGTTGATATCCAAATATTTTTCAGTAGGAAAACCTGGTTTTGATCAGCATTTCTTGGTGTTCTTTTAAAGTAGTTTTGAACATCTCAGGTTTTCGCTGAAAGCTGTAGACCAGCTGCTCTTTATAAGCATCTTATTAGCTGTGAAACTGTCAGAGTTGGGCAGTTCATATCTTTAGTAAATACTTCATGGTTCTGAAACTCCTTTTCTATGAAAAGCTTGATTCTGTTTTGCTTTCTAAGTAAACGTCTTCATTTTCTCAAAAATTATATTAAAAGAAATTCAGCATTTTGAATTACTAGAGTAGAATAGAGTACTTCAGTTGGAAGGGAGCTACAGTGATCAACCAGTCCAACTGAGTGGCAACTTCAATGCTGGCCAGAAGTTAAGGCATTGTTCAAATGTCTCTTAATCACTGACAGGCCTGGTGCATTGACCACCTCTCTAGGAAGCCTGTGACAGTGTTTGACCACCCTCAGTAAAGGAATGCCTAATGTCAAGGCTGAACCTCCCCTGATGCAGCTTTGCACAATTCCCATGTGTCCTGTGACTGGATACCAGGGAGAAGAGATCAGCACCTCCATTGCCACTTCCCCTCCTCAGGAAGCTGTAGAGAGCAGTGAGGTCACCTCTCACCCTCCTTTTCTCCAAACTAGACAAGCCCAAAGTTCTTAGCCATTCTGGATAGGACTTTCCTTCCAGCCCTTTCACCAGCTTGTGTCCACAGCCCAGGTTAAACTTCCTTGTTCTCTGTTATGAAGGTGATCTGTAGTAACTGTGTGAACTGGATTTGCAGGCACAGGACTCTGAATTGTATGTAATTCAGAGGACTGAACACCAGTGGATGTTTCACAGCACAGCTGCTTCAAGTAATCTATTCATGTTTCCTGAGACTGCTTGTTTTGAGTGAGAGAGGGCAATAGACCGTAACACAGGAGCAGCTTAGATTGTTTTACAAGTGCAATTGGGTATTCCTGCTATATCACCACAGATTCAGTGCTTGTGCTGGGTGTGAATGTGAAGTGCCACTCCCCAAACTATTTTTGCTTTTCATTTTCCCTGTGCAAGTTTGACAATGGAGCTGAGGGCAACGTTTGACTCACAGTTTGAGCAAACTACAGAGGGAGCCAGACTGCAGTCTGATTCATGGGCAGCATTAAAACAAGAAGCTTTGCTAAAGGATGGATGGATAATGTACCCCTTATTTTCTAGGATTTTAGGCAAGAATTGATTGATGTTTTTTATCTGCTAATATTAAGGCCATTTATTCATTTAGATTAGGCTCATTTACCAGCAAGCTGTATTTTTTATTTTGTCTCGTGCACTGAGGAGTGTTTTCAAGATCTGCTTAAGAATAAATCATGAATCTTGCTTCTGGTTAGTACGCCAATGATAAGCAGCATTATTAATACTATTAATTACATAGTGTTTACTGGCACCCATATCCTCATCACATAGTCATTCAGCTTTCTGCAGAGTTCTGTTGAAGTCCATGGGGCTACCCACATACACAAACAAAAGCATGTGTCTGTTGCAGATTAAAGCCTTAGATGTTTTTATATTCCTATTTGTTATTTATATGCCATTGCCAGCTCACATGCCCTGCCTTTGTTTTCCCATCAGGTCACATAAATATTTTCTATGCCTTTCAAATGAAGCTAATGCAATTTTTTCTTTTGGAAAAGAGAAATATAAAGTGCTTGTCATGAGTGCTGTGAACTTCACTTACCTTCATCTTTCAATTTTCATCTTAGTCTGGGATGTCTGGAGATAAGCCACAGAAGTCTTAAATATGGAACATGTTCTAATACGTTTTTCTTTTTTATTCTTCCTTTTCCCTAACATATTCCCAGGCATTTGCAATGACTAAGCAAATTCTGGTGGAAAAGTCAGTTGTTGGCTGGAAGGAGATAGAGTATGAAGTTGTGAGAGATGCTGCTGATAACTGTATTGCCGTCTGCAACATGGAGAACATAGATGCTATGGGAGTCCACACAGGTAGGCTTGGGCACAGGGTTGATAACTGGAAATGGCTCATCAACTTTTTTTAATGCCATGCCCTGCTGGCTGCTGTTACTGACATGGTTTTGTGGTTGATGAAGTGGGTTCTAGAAGTACTCTTCAGGTCTTAGATACAACCAGGTACAGTGTGAAACTGATATTGTTAGGCTAAACCTACCCCTATGATCCTGTTTTCTGTAAGACTGCCTGGCCTCTCCAACTCAGGCTTCTAACTACCTGTGCTTTTCATCAACTGTGCATCCACAGGTTGGAATGTCTGTGGTAACTTCATTACTGCAGTGGGTTAGCAAAGAAAGTGACCTGTGTGGCTAGAATTTAACTGCCACTGAGCAGCTTCTCATTTTCCTTTTCTGCTACCTTGTGACAAACAGGAGATTCTGTTGTAGTGGCTCCAAGCCAGACACTCACTAATGAGGAATTTCAGATGCTGAGGGATCGTGCCATCAAAGTGGTCCGACATCTGGGCATCGTGGGAGAGTGCAACATCCAGTTTGCTCTGCATCCAACTTCCCTGGAGTACTACATCATTGAAGTTAATGCCAGGCTCTCGAGAAGTTCAGCTTTGGCTTCCAAGGCAACAGGGTAAGATTATTTAAAAACCCTACCCAAATACTACAGAGCAAACAAATGAATAAGCAAAAAACAAGGGGAGAAGAACAGGAGGGAGAATTCTGAGAAGGAAATTGGATCAGTGTTTTGTTTAAATATGTAGGTGATGGCTGCAAGGAAGAAGAGCTCCTGCATCTGCTTTCCATTCAGTTAAGACAAGGATGTGCAAGCTTAATTTGCAGCAAGGAAAACTGAAGCTGGTTGTTAGGGAGAACTCTGGAGCAGTCAGGACAGTAAGGTGCAGATTTCTGCATGGGAAGCTGCTAAGAACAACTCTTGTCAGCATCTGCTAGGATTGACCCTTGGAGAGTCCATCCTGCTGGGAGATGGAAGAAGGGGTTAGTGAGCCCTCCAGGTCTAATCCAGCCTGCTGCTGCTGTTACTGCAAGTGGAAAAACTCCCAGGAGGTGGTGGGGGGAGCCTAATAGCTGTCCTTACAAAACATATCCACTGTATCCATATGTTGGCTGCAAATCATCTCCGGGACCCAGAGGACACAGTTATTAATGAGCTGTCTGTTAGATTGATGCAAATGGTGTTGCTAGCTGCCTTTGTTTTGTTGGCTAATCATAAACTAATCAAGATAAGGATGGTCAGAACAGGCTGTTTAAAAATTGGCTTCTTAATGGCACTTTGCAGATGCTGTAGAGAGGCACAAATTAATCTCTAATTTTCAGTTCTCAACAACTCATGTGGTTGTTGAAGTGCCACAGCAGACTGGAGATAAGCCATGATGTTGGATAGTGGGCATTTGATTGGATGCCATTCTTTTTGGATGGTAGAGTTGCAGCAAAACAGATCTGTTTGTGTGGTCTCACTGTGGGCATGACAGGTACTTAACACTGGTGGCTTTGCAGCTAATAATGCAAGTCCCAGATCTAGGTAGGTAGCTCTCCAATGTATTAAGATAGGAAGCTGGATGAGCCCGGCTGCATTTGAGCACAGTAACCTTCTGTCATGTTGAGGAGGGAAAATCACCTCACATCTGTTTAATTTGATCCACTCCTGGGATTTGCAAAAGCAAAGTACTTCCCACTCTGCTATTCTCTACTTGTCCTCTATGCCAGGTATCCATTAGCATTTATTGCTGCCAAAATCGCCTTGGGAATCCCCTTGCCAGAAATCAAGAATGTGGTGACAGGAAAAACCTCTGCCTGCTTTGAGCCCAGCCTGGATTATGTTGTTACCAAGATACCCCGCTGGGATTTGGACCGTTTTCAGCATATGTCCAACCGGATTGGAAGTTCCATGAAGAGTGTGGGAGAGGTGAGTGCAAGACTCTCTTTTTTCCCTTCTGTTCCACCACTTGGGAAACTCATTTCTTTTTCTTGGAAACCCTCATAATATCTACTTTCAGGGACCTAATGGCTTTTGAAGATATTTATCCAGATGAAATATTTTTTATCCAGTACTATAATTAATGAAAATCAGTTAGGATTGTGTAATCTTGGATATCACAGAGTGGATTCATATATGGTTTGATTCCTAAGGGAAGAGACCTCTCTGGATCACCTGAGGTTGACTTGATTCTTCATTCTTAACACTTGCTACAGGACTCCCAAAGTGATTTTTGTTGAGGGTTCTGTAGTGGTGTGAATTAGGATGTAACATCAAGAGTTGTAGGCTGTTAAGATTACCAGTGATGCTGATGAGCCACAGCTCTCGTGTTCCCATGGTCATTTCTCCTCTCTGTTAAAACCATATGCCAAGTCTCAGCCTACTTCTGCTCTTGAAATCCACACCTATGTGAAAATACAACCTGAAATCTTGGTCTGAAGTCTTGACTTCTCATAGTGATTGTATCCTGATCATGTATCCTGAACATGACAGTGTGACTTTTAAACCCTGATTTTAAGGTGTCTGGGACAATAATGGCATTTTCAGGCCCTGTTTTTTCCTTAAAAAGAGGAAAGAAATGAAGCAAAATGCTACATTACCCACTTAATTAGTTAATTTCCTATCAGCTACCAAAGCAAAAGAATTAACAGTGTATTTTTTCAGCTGCTGTTTTTTCCTAATGCTTTTCAAGTAGCTCTTTTATTAAATTCTTCTGACACGTGAGACCTTCCTAGCATCAATTCCACCTTGCTCAAACAACAAGCCTTCATACAACTGGAAGGATGAATTAGAACTTGATTTTCCAGTGGCAGTTTTGGCTTTTAATGGCAATCAGTTTGGCTTTCTTTTTTTTCTCTTCAGTGAGTTGGTGCTTACTGATAATAACTTCTCACTGCTTAGGGTTTTTTTGGCTGTTCTGTAGAGCTAGGGTTCCTAAATACAGTTGCCTTGTGTACTGTCAGCTATAAACACTTCCTGACCATGCACATTAGCAGAAGGAAGTATTGAGTCCTTGCAGGTCGTGTATCACAAAAGTAGAACTGCATGAACCCCCTGTCCTTCTTAAGGCAGTTTGCCGGGTAAAGGGAGGAGGGAGATGCAGGAAGAGTCAGTGCTCAGGTCTGTGACTGCTGGGGGTGAACCGAAGCAGGGATGGAGAAGCTTAAGAGGTGCAGTTTGCAGCTAATGGAGCTACTCAGCACTAAGGTTAGTCTGCAGGACATGGGAGTAGGAGAGGGTGTCTCTGAAGCAAAGAGCTTCTTGCTACTGTATCTCTATTGGTGTGGCAGTCATCTCCCTTGGCCTGACCTTGAAGCCAGATTGCAGCACCTACTGCTCTTTATTGAACAGTCTGGTCTGGCCTGGTTTTTTTCCTGAGCTCTGTTGTGCTGGGCAGTGGGCCTGGAGCAGCGGGCCTGGAGCAGCGAGAAAAGAGAGACCAATGTGATTTTTTTTCCTTTTGATGTTTTTCCCCGTTGTGTTTGGGAAGGTTTTTGTGCTGTGAGGGTTTCACTGCACTGGGAAATAAAAATGTAGAAATTGGAGAAGGGGCTCTGTTACCTCACAGATCTCCACAGAGAAAGGCTTGCTTTCTTATTAGATATGTCAAGATTGAAGGAGGGAAACCCCACTACTGCCATGCCTAGGAGGAGTAATCCTTTAAGAGAGCCCTCACAGGCGAGAGTCACTGTTAAATGTAATTTAAAGTAAGAGGCGCAGATTTCTTCTGAACCTTAAAATTCCCACTGTGAGTTTCTATCTTTAACAGGTTGTTGAACAGAAATATCCTTCTGTATTACTATACCCATGCTGCCACATAATGTTTCCCTCTATAAAGTGCTTCAAAGGAGTTTACAGAGGAGAGCAGCAGCTTCCTGTATTTTACAGATAGGGAGACGAAAGCAGAAAGGAGTCACTCATCCGAAACTCCCTGTTGATAATACTGGCAGAGTCAGGCCTAGAATTGGTACTCCCAAGGCTCAGTCAGCTGTGCCTGTCTTCAGGTTAGCAGGACGATCATAGGGAGAAGGCCCAAAGGCTGTAATCTTTCTGTAGGTCTATCTTCATGGTTTAAATCATACAATCACAGAATGGTTTCGGTTGAAAAAGACCTTAGGATCATCTAGTTCCAACCCCCTGTCACGGGCAGGGACACCTTCCACTAGAGCAGATTGCTCCAAGCCCCTGTGTCCAACCTGGCCTTGAACACTGCCAGGGATGGGGCAGCCACAGCTTCTCTGGGCACCCTGTGCCAGCGCCTCAGCACCCTCACAATCAAGAATTTCTGCCTTATTTCTAACCCAAATCTCCCCTGTTTAAGTTTGAACCCATCACCCTTGGTCCTGTAACTACAGTCCCTGATGAAGTCCCTCTCTGGCACCCCTGTAGCCCTTTGTGGGCTGCTATGAGGTCTCCACGCAGCCTTCTCTTCTCCAGCCGCTCTGAACAGCCCCAGTTTTCCTAGCGTGTCTTAGTATGGGAGGTGCTTCAGCCCCATTGTCATCCTTGTGGCTTCCTCTGGACTTACTCCAACAGTTCCATGTGCTTCTTATGTTGCCTTTTGTTATGTTCTCAAATTGTCACTCCTGTTGTTCAGGGGACAGCTGGGCAGCAGCTCACCTCTGCTAATGTGGAAGTGCTCTCCATTACAGGTCATGGCTATTGGACGTACTTTTGAAGAGAGCTTCCAAAAGGCCCTGAGAATGTGCCACCCCTCTGTAGATGGCTTCACTGCACATCTGCCTATGAATAAAGCCTGGCCAGCTGTTGTACATCTCCAAAAGGATCTCTCTGAGCCATCCAGCACCCGGATATATGCAATAGCCAAGGTAACAAACAATAGAAAGCCCTTGACCTATGTCCCTTGCATTATAGCTAGTAGATTAGGTCAACAGAGGTGGCAGAGGTTGAATATTCTTCATCTCCTGGCTTCCCTCTGTCAAGCACACTGGGACCACTTTGTGTAGGATCCTTGGTTTTGAAGTACAGATAATCTCTATTGCATGTCATTTCCTCTGCAGAACACAGTAGCTGGGTGGACATATGACTTTAGTTTGTCTCGCTGACATCTGTATTTTCCTGCATGGTACTCGTGTAACATGTTCGTCTTTTGGAACAATCTTAGCCAATGCTCATTGCATTTGGCAGCAGGTGCATTCCTTTGTTCTAGCACTTGTAGCTGAGTGTTGGTGGAGACCTGGATTGCTTTTCTTTGCTTGTTCCTATGATATAATTGTTTGCTGAGTATTGCCTCATGTTCAGCCCTGATTTACACCAGTGTGTCAAGTCAAAGTTGGCCAGTTTTGCAGATTACCATTAATTTATAGGAAGGGAGGAAGGAGAAATTGAAGATCCTTTTGCGAACTGAACAAAGGATGATAAAGCATGGCAGGCTGCAGTATGTGAGAGCGCTGCAGTATGTGAGAGCACTGCCTTTGTGCAGTTGTCACATTGGTATGGGTTTGAAACAAGTACAGAAATTAAAACGCTATGTTAAATTTAGCGTACAGGACATTTCCTGTTCCTTGAAATAAGATCAACTTCCCTTAGCGTTCTTTTAACCCTCTTCTGTCACACTGGGCAAATCACTTCATCTTTCAAGACGTCTTGGTAAAGAGGGGATGCTATTGTAAGGGAAGCCTGGGTGTGAAATGACTTCTTCCTTCAGCTCCATGGTGTTTTCCTGTGTATATCCCATGGTGAGTGTAGGATTAGTTACTTTAGAAGGCAGCTGCAATTTCACGCTGTGGTTTTGCTGCAGCTAACTTATCCATCTGTCCATACCCTTTATGAGAAGGAATGGATAACTGCTTTTTGCAGCTCACACTTACCTGTTGGTTTTTTCAAGATTGCAAACCTTCCTGGCAGGAAACACTTGGTCACTGTTTTCTGTGCCCCTGACTTTGTGTGGTGGAGTCTTTATGCTCTTTGTGCTCATGTGTTGATACGTCTCATTACATCCTCCACGTGAGGGTAGAGTGCTGAGGGTGTGCTGTACTTGTAACAAGGTTTTCACGTAGCTGTTCCTCTTACAAATGGCCTGAATGAGCAGCACAAGATGTTCTATAAATGTGTGGTTTGTCCAGCTGTTGTCTCTTGGTTTTCAAGCTGGGGAGTTGCTTAAGTGTAGAACATCCGTCAGCAGCTGTGCTTGGTCTTTATTGTTGTGACTGAGAGAAAAATCTTGCTTCTTGTCTCTCTGTGTGGCTCAGAGAGCTTTTATGAAAGGTTAATCTTAGGCCTGTTTTAACACGGGGGATCTGGGGAGGTAAAGGTGAGTTTGGGTCCCACTGAACACTCTGGGTGTTCCCAGCTGGTGGCATTTTCACTGGGAGCTGATGAAAAAAAAGCCAGATCAGAGTCTTAATCCCTCCCTGTAAAGAGCTGCGTGAGCCAGACACAGTGCACTAATTCGTCCCCGTTAATAACCGAGGCAAGCAGTATCAGTGACAGGTACTTCTGGCAGCTGGGGCTGCCTGCCTGGAAATCCCTTTCCAGCCTGCTGACATTTAAAAGCCAACAGTTAGTCCCCATTTTCCGTCAGCTTTGTTTGGAACAGGATAGAGCTTCCTTGTATGTCTTCTCCCCCTTAAGCCCCACTAGTCAGCTCTCCAAGGCTTTTTACTTTTTCTCTCTCCTTTATCTGTTGGATGATGAAAACAGTAACTGTTCAGGTGAAAGGGATGGGAGTTCACCTGCCATTCAGAGCGATTGCTGTTGTAATGGGACTCCCTGTTGTAATGTGAAAGAAGTCACTAGGAGAGAGGCTGAAATAGATGTGACTTGTTCCTTGGCCAGAGTGGCTGACTGCGGGGATGTAAGTGCCTGATGTGCAGGGCTGCTCAGGTTGTATCACATCTTTTCTGGGCCCTCTTAAGGTTGTATACAAGTGGCCTCAGAAGAATTAGGCTGTGGATTTGATTCATGCTCTGTTTCACACCAGGGCCCTGGTCTTATAGTTGCTCACTAAAAGAAGCTAACCACTTCCTTTGGTGAGGA